TTTGAAGATCAATTTAAAGAAATGATATCATCAAATTAAAAGTGCAACTTGGAAATGAATGGAAGACAATCTTCAAAACAATAGATGAATTATTTGAATGGTTAGTGTGGACTATGATAGTATGTGAATCCAAACATTTATGAGAAGTAAATTAAGGAGTACTCGTCAAAGTTGAGTTTTCATGACCCAAGGAGAATGACGCATGAGCGTCTAGAATTGTATTTTATTTAATTTAATTTTTACTAATTTTAGTTGATTTAGAAATTATAAATGTCATAAAATTCTTTTTTTACTTGTATCAGGAATTTAAGCTAGTCATGTTCTATTTAAGAATAGAACACTTATTTTATTTAAATTTCTTGTTAACTATTCTAATTGTATTAGACAACTAAAAGTAAAGTTTTATTAAGATGTGGGCCTATAATATTATAAATAGGACCTTTAGGTTTAAAGTTTTATTAAGATGTGGGCCTATAATATTATAAATAGGACCTTTAGGTTTAATTATTATTCACATTCAACTTGAGAATTAATAAATAATATTTTTTTAAGTAAGAATGCTTATTTCTTTAAGTTTTTTTTAAAAAGTAAGAGGTTTTTAGTATCTTTGACCTAGCCAACTAAAATAAAATTTTGATTATTTTTCACCTCAATAGGGTTTTCAATCTTGTCAAGATTGGTGATACACCTTAGTGGAGTTTCCAACCTTGTCACAATTAGTGTCTTTCACAATGCTCAAGTGTCTTGACAACGTCCCGATGTCAACTGAATATAAAATTAAATCCTTACGCATTTAATATTATTATATTTTATAAAACCAAATCCTTATTTTCATTTTTTATCTCAACTCTTATAAATTGTCACAAATATATTTTTAATTATGTTTTTAATACATATTTGGTTTTAATTTTTTTCGTTTCTTTTTCTCTCCTATTTTCCCCTCTTTTTCTATTGGCAGATGGTCTCTCATTCATGTTACAAGTCTTATAAAAGAAAATTTGGTCTCTCATACATGTTATAAGTCTTATAAAAGAAAATTTTAAAAGACAGAATTTAATTTAATTTGCTACACAATAATTTGTGAAACAGATACCAAGTTGCAAAACTTTGCATTTTTCAGAATACAACTAAGGATAGGCTTTAACAATTAAGAGAATGCTAACAAAGATTAGGAGAATTTTGTCATAATAGAGCACAGGCACGGCAAGGCAAGGAAACAAAATTCTACTGTTGGGACAGATGATGGGAAATTAAGAAATAATATTAAATCGTGATGTGCCAAAAGACTGAATGAATGGGCCAAGACCTCCTTTTCTTGACACGTTGCCTGCGAGGTGTCATGGTAATAGAAGTAACGTAACAATACCCCCATTCTTCCTTATCACGACAAAAATTAGAGCAAAAGAAATATCTTCCCCACATAACCACAAGGAAATTTCAAAGAAAGATCTTGCATTATTTCTTCTTCCTACTGCCACCAGATTCTTTAAACTTTGTCGGCCCTACAATATATTAAATTCTTTTTCATTAGGATTTTAGCCATTTTCAATTCTAGATTACCGCTCAAGCCAGACGTTAAACATTAAATTGGTCCCCACGTGTGGCTGCCACCACGTTGACACGTTATGCATTTTTTTTTCTTTCTTCTTTTTTTTTTCCAAGTCTGTTTTAGTTCTTCCTGGAAAATTTGAGGGCAGCGTGAATAATTGATGTTATTTCTTGACCAGCAAAAGCAAAACAGCAACCACACAAAGGGAAGGGGGGTCTTCTTGTGGTAGACTTGTATTGATACATAATGTCATAGGTCAACACCTAGGAATTTGTTGGTAGCGACTGCCTTTCTTTCGTTGTTTGAGCCACCAGTTTCGTCTTGCATTTCTGTCCATTAACTTGTACATTTGTTTGGGGCTCGGAGACACCTACCGCACTGCCTGATTAAGACACATCAAGCTAGCCATGTTCACAATGTTACCTAAAAAATTAAATTACACTAATTATACAAGTTAGAGTAAAGTTGGGTTGACATGAATGTACATAGCTAGTTATGTAAAAATTGAAAGTTACGAATTTTTATCAGTTTATAAAATGTTCAATCACGGAAACTTTTTCAATTGACAAACTCCTTCGTAATTTATGTAAATATTTAATTCGAGCCTTTATAATGACGTATTTTTGACGCTCTCTTCTTTTATTTGATTGTTTTATTTATGAAAAGTTAAAGAGTTCAAAGTTATTATAATCTTAAAATTTTACTCTTGATTAAAAAAGTACTAATAATCAATTAATCTTATTGTATGAGATTTCTTTTATGAAAAGTTTATTAGATTTACTTTGGGCTATTATAGTGTTGATTGTGCTTATGATTTGCATAATCTGGGGTTGATTAGGAGTATAATTAACATCATAATTAGCAATTTGAATCAGCTTGTGAATAATTATATGCATATAATTAGGTGTTTGAAACTCAAGGAAAGCATAAAGGTGATTCAATTAATAGACATAGCACATCAAATACAGGTAACTCCATCATATTTTTTGACGCAGCTAATGACTTAGCTATGAACCGAAGTAGGGTCGATTGATTGATTGTTTTTTCGGCAATTTTTTTTTTAAAAAAAAGAGGGGAAATTGAAGTAGGGTTGATTGTTTCTTATTGGAAGAATTATAAAGGTAAAAACATTCCTATATATTTCCCAACATAGATGGTTTAATAAAGTAGAATTATATTCCAAGTTTTCTTTTCTCCCTTTTTGTTTTTGCCTTTGGGTAAGGTGAAAGGAATATGATCATGGATCACATCACATGGCTTGCATAAAAAGTGGTGATTTCAGGGACAGATGAACATCAAATATTGAGTAGGTTTCATTCATCAAAAAGGGTACAAAAATGAAGAAATGACAGCTAAAAACAAATATGACAAAGCTATCATAACAGTAGTGATCTGTTTAATCCTAAACCTATATATAATGCAAAAATAGCTTGGTCATGACTATATAGATATTGCCCTTGTATCTTAAGGTTTGTACATTATTATTATTATTATTATTAATGGACCTTCAAGGATGAATAGTTAATAAAGTATCCAACGACATTATAGTGGTATGGTCACGAGGACCCTCACCTAATTTTTCTTTTCTTTATTCCTTTTTGTCTTTTCGTTCAATCTAAATCAACTAGCTAGCGCAGGTATTGTGGTAATTTAAACAAAGCGCATGTAAAGTTGTAACGGTCTAATTCCACTTTATGTTGAATTTGTTCAATTATTAATAGATTTGTTTATTTTTAATGTGAAATTAATACTTTATTCATTGTGATTATAATTCGTACTTGTTTTTACCATACTACAATATCCTTTTTTTACTAGAAACGTATATTAAATGTATTAATTGAATGTAGTGGCAAATTATTGTTACATGATATCAAAAAATAAAATAAAATAAATAAAACGTGTAGGTGAAGGTTCAAATAGCAGAAGTAATTAAAATTTGACAGTGTAAAGGTCTACCACTAACAACAAATGCACCTCTTGTTTCTTTCATCCAACAATATTAAGAGTTCTTAAAGTTAACATTTGCTTGTTGTGACATCTCCCTTGAGTGAATCAAAAAACAAAAACTTCCTCCCTATATATAGTTTTTGGATTATAGGCAATTAAAGAGTCTGAATCTGGTTAATCAAACCATAGAATAAATAGAATCTTTTATTTGTTTGATCATAAAGTTGGGGAAGGCGATTCAAATTTTGAGCATCTTATAAAAGAAAAAAGGGAAGTGAGCTTAACCATTTTTTGCACAAATATATGAAAAATTCAAATATCATAAGTAAAGGGCTCATATATATATATATATATATATATATATATATTCTTTTTAACTCTTTTTCTGTCAAATAAAACCAAAAAGTGGTCACGTCATAGATAGTGCCATAACTTTTCTATATTGCAGCCAAAACTTTGTATTACGCTCCTCACAATAATGAGTTTGGCTGCTACAATACTTTTCATTTAAGCATTACTTTTATAATTTTATGTTAATTGCATGATTTAATAGAATTTGGCTCCACAAACCTGATTGTGTATATGTTTTATCCAAAATAAACTAAAAAAAGAAACATCAATGGTGAAATAGTTTACTTGGTTTCTGCCATTGAAAAGGTGTAGCCAATTAGTAAAATAATGGCCAGGCTCCAGGCGAGGGTTGCGCAGCTTATACGGCACTAAAATAATAATAGTAACGAATTTACCTACTCTTTCTTAGCAATGTTGTCCAACACTCTGGATTTGATTGCTTAACCAATCACATTCTCTTACAGCCATCATTTGCAAAAGCATCCAAAGATTTTTTTTTCTTTTTTAAAAGTAAACCCAGGGAAAAGCTTGTTTAAGTTAATAAAGTAGAAGTCAAGCCTACCCCTTTACAAAAGACACCCCAAACGTGTCAAGGCTAAAGCCTTCCATTTCTGATTAAAGAAACCAATTAAATCACCAAATTGGTGACAAACACCACCAATCACTGAAAAACAGGAGTGGGTCGAGGCTTAACCAAACAAAATGATTACCCAAAGGCCCAGGAAATGAAGAACAAAAACTTAATAGATTCTCGGTTATGATTATGTCAATATTCTTTTTTATGTAAAATTCTTGTTTACATGTATCTTTCTAATTGTAAAATTAGTAAATTTTCATTCAGAATTCAACTGGTTTAAATAGAAAATATAATACGTCTATACTTTGTCTTTTATCAATGTTCTCCATCACCAAATTAAACAAATCAAAGGGTGGTGGCTTTCTTTATTTAATTATGAGATGGATAATATCACCAAAATATAATTTATTAAGTGTCAAAGATTATATATTTACCTGACGGTGAACCTGTTAGATACGTTGTCCAGATAGAGCTGGAAGTCAAAGCATGAAAACAAGAAGTGGGGGACAAGAGGGGTGTTTTTAAATCCAGATAAAAAGAAAACAAAGGCAAAATCTCCTCAAAAGACAAACAAAAGAAAAATGGAAAGAAAAATGAGAAAGGGATGGCCCTCTAGAATTTCTTGACTTTCTGAGCCTGAACCCCCAACCCCCCAGGCCATTCCCTGAGCTATGCCCCTATTTAAAACTATTTGTTAAGAGATAATGACAAAGTGGCTAAAAGAGTTGGTGAAGATAATGCCTCTGCACCCACCTTCTCTTAAACAAGCCTCAGTCACTCCCCTGCCTTTGCCTTCCCCCCAATTTTCCTCCTCAAAAAACATGCTTGATCCTGGCGCAAAATTGCCCAGATCTCCAGTCACTTTGTCGGACCACATAGGAAGGAGATTGAGTGACAGTTATGATTCTAGAGTCCAGAATACAGCTCAAAACTATGTAAATTATAGGAGTTGCAACAGCATGGGGGGGAGGTTCCCTGCTGAAACTTCCGTGATGGAAGATGAGTCTGGGATATCCACTCCTCCTTTGTGGAGTACTAGTCCTTCCAGGAGTCCTCCGCATCGACAAAACATTAATTATCGATGCCTATCACCATCATCGAAAGCTCAAGCTATAGCTAGAGGCCAAAGGGAGCTTATGGAAATGGTTAGTAGAATGCCTGAGTCCTGTTATGAACTTTCCTTGAAAGATCTAGTGGAGCATCAGCCTGTGGTTGTTGAACCAAAAGAGGAGAGTTTTACTGAAGGGAGAGGTGTGATCAATGAAGATACATACATGAAAGAGAAGGAGATGAAGAAGAAGAAGCAGCAGAACAATCAGAAACCGCAAATTATTAGGAGTGGGAGCATAGATAATGGAGGGCTTCTTCTGAAAATGGTGTTTCCAGTTTCGTTGAGGTCTAAGAAAAAGAAGAAGATAAAGAATGATTCTGCTACAAATCACAATTCTAAAGTTTCTCCAAAGCCAGCAGTGTCAGATGCATCTGCTAAGAATGTAGATAAGGAGTGGTGGAAGAAGAGATCGGGGTCGAGTGAGAGTGAGAGTGGTAGATCGACTATAAATAGTGGAAGCACCAAAAGCAGCCGCAGTAGCAGCACCAGTAGCAGCAGCAGCTGCAGGAGCATTAGCAATAGCAGCAGCAGGTATGTTATAGCTGAAACGTTTTGGTGATCTTTGTGCTTCCATACCATTGGGTATTAGCCAAAGTTTTCAAATTAAACTTGGTGGATTTTAGGGGAAGATCTAGGAATCAATGTTTGGAGTAACGGAGGCCAAACAAAAGGAAAATGAAATTTGAGTGAAAAGATTAATGATTAAATTTCATTTCAATAATTAGTACTAAGCTCAATATGTTGTTTACCATAAAACTAGCAGGGAATTTGTTAAACTTTAGGGTGAAGATTCAATTATTTCATCAATTTAGAGAGAGGTTTACATTGGGATGCAGAGGACTCTGTTCTGTGGATGCTGAGATGCAGAGTCATTGGCCTTATTCGACTGATTACGTGTAGCAAGTAATATTAAATTTCTTGTTGAAAATTCTAGAATGGGTATATAGATGAAAATTTCATCTGCCGAAATTTTCCACCTCACGGCCTCCTATCATAGTCAAAGTAAAAAAGGGAAGCAAAGGGAGATAAAATCACATACAACAACGTACATTTTTTATTTTATTTCAAACAAGTCCGCGGCTTTTTCCTTTACTTTTACTTGACATATTCGTTTGCAACTAAAATAGTTTGCTTTGCAGCAAAGAACCCTTTTTTCTTGTATAACAATTAGGTAAAGGCAAGAGATTCAAATTTCGAACTAGACACCTCCATTTTGAAGGTGAGGTATTGCTACTGTCAGCAAATAATGCTTAAGCCAAAGAGTCAAAAGCTACTTAATTAACAATATTTGGCATATCAATTGGCACTGTTCTAGCTGCTGAGAAACTTGCTTCACCGGTTGAACAGCTTAGGTTACACTAAATTGTTAGTTACTTAGCTCAATGCAGGAATTTCAGCTACAACAACTACATAGATTACTGTATCTGAACATGAGATTGCAGCAAAGTTGAAATGGCCACTGTTTATCAGCTGTGTAACATTTTGTTGTGTGCAATGCAGGCATGGGAGGAGCGGTTGCTTGGCTTTCATCTCCTCTATGAGAAGGAAAGCATCGCGATAAAAGGGCAGCCTTGAGCCTTTAGCCTTGTTTGAAAATGGAGTGCAATGTGTAATTATCTTTCCAATAATGTCGATGGTTAGGGTACAGGGAATTGTCACAGCAGAGAGATGCAGCTAAGCCTGTGTATAATATTCAGAGATTCTAATTAAAGAGTGCTTTCTTTCTTTCTTTCTTTCTTTTTTTTCACTTATATTGAGAGATGGGTCATGATTTTGGTTTCCAAGATGCTGCAGCTGGGCTGAGGTTTGTTTGAAATGAGCACAAGTGATTCAACAGCAGTGCCAAGATGAACAAGCGGTCTGTGAATGAAATCTCTTAGCATAGCAATCAACATTTAAACTATAGTTCTATATATTCTTTGTGTGTGAGATTGAAAACTTTTCCCTTTTCTCTAATCATACTCAAGGGGACATCATGTTTCTCATTTCGACTGTAGACTGCACCTTGGTGTGTAGAGGAAATCTTCATGGGCATATGGGCTGAATATGGTGTTAGGGAAGTGTTCTGCTGACATATCTATGCGAAGCTTTTCTCAATTTTCTTTTGGTTCCAACTTCCAACAGCTTTGCAAAGTGGCCGATCAAACTTGTACTCTTATTCCAATTAGTGGAATCCGATACCTTATATTGATCCTACACTTTTTTGGAGGATACTCGCTGTACAAGAACTTGAATATAAAACTTGCACATTTAAATCTTATCTACGTTAGCGGTTGGTTTAAACATTAAGTTCATTCTTTTACTAACAATTTAATCTGTAAATGTATAGGGTTTTTTTTTATGAATAATTAAAATATGAACATAAATTAAAAAATTATTAGTAATGTACTTTTTTTTAATATATGCCTACATAGGTATACTATGATGTACAATTAAATAGGCCTCCTTTATGCTTTACCATGGAAAAAATAAAAGACCCCTAAACCATGGTCAAGAATCATCTAATAGGGTACCAAATCGAAACCAAATGTATAAATGGTTGAACATATGATTTTTGCTACCACGATACAAAAAAATAAAAAATAAAAAAAAGAGAAAAAAAAAACAAAAATCGAATCCTCTGTTTTTGGCATTTGCATGGCTGTGAATGCAGCCTCTATGCTCAACCGTCTCCTTCAATACAAAACCCATAAACCCCAAAACCAACCCAACAGCCTCAAATCCGTAACCCAATCAATCCTCACTCACCTCAAGTCTGGTCGTCTTCAAAAAGCCGTTTCTATCCTGTTTGCTTACCCTGAACCTTTCCCTCACTCTCTTTACGCCCGTCTTTTCCACCTTTGTTCCGCAAACGATGCTATCGTTGAAGCCCGAAAGCTTGAATCGCACTTAGTCACCTTCTGCCCTTTGCCTCCAGTGTTCCTCTTGAACCGCGCTATTGAAACCTATGGGAAATGCGGGTGTTTGGTTGACGCAAGGGAACTGTTTGATGAAATGCCTGAACGCGATGGGGGTTCCTGGAATACCATGATAACAGCGTATGCACGAAATGGGTTTCAAGAGAAGGCTTTGTGCTTGTTTTCGGAGATGAATAGGGAAGGAATTTTTCCAAATGAGATCACATTCGCTAGTGTTTTGGGCTCTTGCGGTGCTGTTTTAGAGCTTGTCCTTTCGAGGCAAATTCACGCAATGGTTGTGAAGTATGGTTACTCTAACAATGTTGTTTTGGGGAGTTCACTTGTTGATGTTTATGGGAAATGTGGAGTTATAAGTGATGCAAGGCGGATTTTTGATCAGATTGAGAATCCAAATGATGTTTCGTGGAATGTGATTGTTAGACGGTATCTTGAGATAGGGGATGGAAAAGAGGCAGTATCTATGTTTTTTAGGATGTTCCGAGAAGATTTTACACCTTTGAATTTTACATTCTCTAATGCTCTTGTTGCTTGTTCAAGCATGTCTGCACTTAAGGAAGGGATGCAAATTCATGGAGTTGTGTTTAAGATGAACTTTGAGAGGGATAAAGTTGTTTCCAGTTCACTTATTGGTATGTATGTGAAATGTGGGATATTAGAGAGTGCTCGTATGATATTTGACCAACTTGGTTCCAAGGATTTGATTTCTTGGACTGCAATTATGTCAGGGTATGCTATGAGTGGGAGAACTAGAGAGGCAAGGGAGCTCTTTAATATGATGCCTGAACGAAATGTAATCTCATGGAATGCAATGCTGGCAGGGTATACTCATTTGTTTCAATGGGAAGATGCCTTGAAATTTGTTTTTCTTATGCGCAGAATGACCAAAGAAATTGACCATGTGACTCTTGTGTTAATTTTAAATGTCTGTGCTGGCATTTCAGATGTTGAAATGGGGAAACAGGTTCATGGATTTATCTACCGACATGGGTTCTGTTCCAATATCTTTGTTGGTAATGCTCTTCTCGACATGTATGGCAAATGTGGGACCTTGAACAGTGCCAGAGTTTGGTTTTACCAAATGAGTCAGGAGAGAGATACGGTTTCTTGGAATGCTTTGTTGACTAGCTATGCTCGGCATCATCGGAGTGAGCAGGCTATGACATTTTTTAATGAGATGCAATGGGAGTCAAGACCATGCAAATTTACCTTTGGAACCCTACTGGCAGCTTGTGCAAATATGTTTGCACTTAATCATGGCAAACAAATCCATGGATTCATGGTTAGAAATGGTTATGAGCTGGATATGGTGATCCGAGGAGCTTTGGTCGACATGTATTGTAAATGTCGTTGCGTTTTATATGCTCTCACGATTTTCAAAGAGGCAGCTTCACGTGATGTGGTTCTTTGGAACACCATGATTTTTGGATGTTGTCATAACGGAAGGGGCAGAGAGGTACTTGAATTGGTTGGCTTGATGGAGGAGGAAGGTGTCAAACCAGACCATGTCACCTTTCAAGGTATTCTGCTTGCATGCATATGTGAGCATGAAGCTGAGCTGGGTAAGCAGTATTTCAATTCAATGAGCAATGACTATTGCATTATACCCCGGTTGGAGCACTATGAGTGTATGATTGAACTCTATAGCCAGTGTGGGTGCATGGAGGAGCTCGAGAAATTTATTAAGAGTTTGCCATTTGAGCCAACCGTTGCAATGTTGACTAGAGTCTTTGATGCATGCGAAAAGCATGGTGCTGTGAGGTTTGGAGAATGGGCTGCTGAACAACATAATCAATTGAATCCATCTACCCTACTAAGATTTGAACTCAAGGACAGAAGGAAAATGGGTAGGTAGGGAATTGTTGACAGATAGTAGTTGTGTTCTGCAGTTGCCTAGGCCATAGGCAACTAGAATGGGAACATAGTTCTCCAGAAATGCCCTCATATAAGAATGCCAAGGGTTATTACATCACGTGCGAGAACTCAACAATGTGAAGTGGCAAAACCTGAAGTCAGTTACTCATGTGACGACTGCTGTGAGGCAGTATATTCAGACTGCTTGGCAAGTCACAAATGGAAACAGAATGCATAATGCCATTTTTAGGAAAACTTGGAAGGAATGTAAGCATACATTGTGCTGTTACCTGAACATTAGAGCTCAAATCTACTTCAGAAGCTGAATTAAGAGCAACTACACATGCTGATTAATAAGAGATGCTCGGAGTGCATTCATGCACCTGGGACGAAAGTTAGAAAGTAAATGTTTCAGCAGAACTAATTCCTGCAGCATAAAGTTCAAGTTCGTTGCATGCTTCCTTGATCAGATGCTGCACTCCTCCAAACTTTTGAAATTTGAAGTCTGGCATCAAGTTTTCGAGAACCAAAGTTTGTAGGCTCCTCTGTGCGTTCTTCAATCCTTTAATAGCTCTGTATAGTCTTGTTATTCACGTAAATTGTAATATTCAATCTTCGCTGCAGAGGAGTGTAGAATCTTGAGGAATTTTTAACCCTCCGTAACATGGAAAACCAGACATTACTGTATATTCTTTAGGGTAATGTGTCACTTCCTATTAATAGCACTTTTCGTTTCTGGCAGAGCTCATGATAAGGGAAACGAAACTATTGAACTTCAATAGCATCGGTTTCTCAAAAAAGACCATCTCATATGTTATCCCAAAGAAACCTAACCGCTCCTTATAAATAGTTGTTTCCAGCTGACAGCCCTTCATAACCTGCCTATTCGGGTAGGTACTGACAGTTTCATTTTTGCCGCCATTTACATTCTCAAACTCAAAGGTGGAGTAAATATTTTTTACAGTTTAAAAGGACAATTTATAGTCTTTTTCTTTGTCTATTAACCATAACACATAAAATCATCTACCGAAAACCAAAGGGCTATCGCCCCTGACCATGGAACTTGATCTCCAAAATTATGCACGTATACTTCAATCTTGCAACACCCACCACTCCATTGTCCTAGGAAAACAGCTCCACTCCTTTTTCCTCAAAAAGGGTATCCTTAGTTCCACTATTACAATCGGAAACCGCCTCTTACAAATGTACTCGCGCTGCAGTACTATGACTGAGACTTGGAAATTGTTCGATGAAATGCCACACAGAAATTGTTTTTCTTGGAACACAGTAATTGAAGGGTACATGAAATCAGGAAACAAAGAGAAATCATTGGAGTTGTTCAAGTTGATGCCGCATAAGAATGATTTCTCCTGGAACTTGGTCATTTCAGGGTTGGCCAAAGCAGGTGAGTTAGAAGTTGCAAGGGGTTTGTTTGATGACATGCCTAGGAAAAATGGGGTTGCTTGGAATTCAATGATTCATGGTTACGCGCGTCATGGGAATGCAAGAAAGGCTGTTGAGCTGTTTAAAGACTTGGGATCTTTGGGTGACTCATTCGTGTTGGCAACTATTATTGGGGCATGCGTTGATTTGGGAGCTATTGAATATGGGAAGCAGATTCATGCACATATGGTGGTTGAGGGACTAGAATTTGATCCAGTGTTATGGAGTGCTCTGATAAATTTATATGGAAAATGTGGTGATTTGGATAGTGCGAGTTGTGTTTTGAATTGGATGAAAGAACCTGATGATTTCTCTTTGTCGGCATTGATTTCAGGTTATGCAAGTTGTGGCAGAATGACTGATGCAATAAGATTATTTGATAAAATAAGTGATCCGTGTGTCGTTTTGTGGAATTCTTTAATTTCTGGACATGCTTTGAATAATGAGGAAATTGAGGCATTAGCTCTTTTTAATAAGATGCGGGAGAAGGGAGTTCAGGAAGACTTTTCTTCAATTGCAGTTGTTTTGAGTGCCTGCAGTAGTTTATGTATCTCTGAACATGTCAAGCAAATGCATGGCCATGCTCATAAAATTGGAGTAATCCGTGATGTTATCATTGCCAGCACTCTGATTGATGCCTACTCCAAGTGTGGAAGGCCTAATGATGCTTGCAAATTTTTTAGTGAGCTCCAAGCCTATGATACAGTCTTGCTTAACTGTATGATCACTGTGTATTCCAGTTGTGGAAGAATTGAAGATGCAAAGCATCTATTCAAGACGATGCCAACTAAAAGCCTGATATCATGGAATTCAATGATAGTCGGTCTGAGTCAAAATGGTTGTCCAATTGAGGCATTAGATATATTTTGTAAGATGAATGAACTAGACCTGAGGATGGACAAGTTTAGTTTGGCTAGTGTCATTAGTGCCTGTGCTAGTATCTCATGTATTGAACTTGGCGAACAAGTTTATGCTAAAGCTACTCTCATTGGACTTGAATCTGATCAGATAATATCTACTTCCCTTGTTGATTTCTACTGCAAGTGTGGTTTAGTTGAATATGGGCAAAAAATATTTGACACAATGACAAAATCAGATGAAATCTCTTGGAATTCCATGCTGATGGGTTATGCTACTAATGGTCATGGATTTGAAGCACTATTGTTGTTTAATGAAATGAGAAATGCTGGTGTAAGGCCAACTGACATAACATTTACAGGGGTTCTGTCTGCCTGTGATCATTGTGGACTTCTAGAGGAGGGACGAAAGTGGTTCAACTCAATGAAATGGGACTATCATATTGATCCTGGGATAGAGCACTACTCTTGCATGGTTGATCTCTATGCCCGTGCTGGTTGCCTTGAGGAAGCAATGAATCTTATAGAACAAATGCCTTTTAAGGAAGATGTAAGCCTGTGGTCATCAGTTTTGAGAGGCTGTGTTGCTCATGGAGATAAAAGTCTTGGAAAGAAGGTGGCAGAGCGGATTATTGAGCTTGATCCTGAAAACTCCGGTGCTTATGTACAACTATCAAGCTTATTCGCAACCTCAGGTGAATGGGAAACATCAGCTGCAGTTAGAAGTATAATGAGAGAAAAGCAAATAAAAAAGAATCCTGGTTGCAGTTGGGCTGAGAGTTGAACAAGCATTTTTGAGGTGGCCGAAGAGTTGTCAGAAAAACAAAAACCGATATGCCTCTCCAAAATGAGATGTATTATTCTTGATCAGCTTGCACTAATTGACCCTTTAAATGTCAATCGTGCACAGCTACTGGTAAGCAGAAAGAAATCATTTTATTCCTTGCGAGACATAGTTTGATACCGCATGCTTTACACATAAAACAATACCGGTTGCACCATTGTTGTGCTGGGCTACCTTGTTTCACCTGCTTCACTCACCAAGCTCAGTGGAGAGATTTTGGTCTTTTGTGGGATATTGTATTTGGCAATTGCTTGTGGTACTGTGTTTTTCACAGGTCGCTTTAGATTTGAGGAAATTAATTAATCGCAATGCGATTGTTCTGCTGCTTTATAGAGATCCCAGCCTCTAATACTCTGCATCGTGAGATGATAAAAGAAGGGAAGAGAAACAAATATGTCCATAGCTGACGATAGGATGGAAATACGACGGAGTGTTACATTTGATTTGTCTCATTGGTGCCTGTCAGCAACGGAGGAGAGGGAATACAGCTAGCACAAATATTGAGGCGGCACGCGCCGATGATGAAGTCACACCTACTTATTTCTGCCATGTGGCAAAATTTATTGTAACGCAAAAAAAGGAAAGAAAACATAAAAATTGTACAAATATTTTAATTTAGATGAAGTTCAATAATGTATTAATTGATTGCCTCTCTTTCACATTTTTTTATTCAATTAATTACTGAATATATTTGGATCCATCTAAACTTTCTAACCTTTTATTTTCCGCATATTTGTGTGTATATATTTAATTGTTTTTACTTTCTTAATTTGGGTTTAGGATGGATTCAAATACAAACTATAATACATGTTAAGTTTCGGGTAATTTAAATTATATTACATGGAATTATTTTAAAATCAAATCAAGTTGGATGAATCTATTTTATTATACTAAGGTAATATAATGGAGTTGGATTTTGGAGTGCAATTCCTTAAGTCAGATTGGCATCTTGCTACCTCTACTCTAATTTTCTTTCTTAATTCTTGCATGAATGCCTCTTGTTTTTCCCAGTTCAATTTTACCGACCGGAACAAGGTCATTATGCTCACGTGGCTTAACTGCTTTGGTCCTAACGTGGAGGGAAGACAAAGGCAACCGTTAAACTTCAAGCCATAGCAAATCCCTGTTGCTATAGATTTTAGTCCAAACACAATTCTCTGTTAAATTTGGGTTGAGCTAGAAGAGAGAAGAGTAACAATAAAAAGAGCCAATCCCAAAACCTTACCCCCCCTAAAAGGGAGGAATCAACGTCATATTCCTGCTTTGTATACAGAACAAAGAAACATTTGCTCCATGCATGCGCCCTTTTCTAAAACCTATATATGGGTCTCAAAAATTCTCTCTTTCTCATTACACCAACCTCATAAACCACTGTTTATCCTTAAAATCCATTAAATTTGCCCAAACAATCCATGCCCAGTTGATCAAATTTGGATTCGGTCGCATAACTTTTCTGGGTAATTGCTTTGTTAACCTTTACTTCAAAGTTGGCTCCTTTAACGATGCTTCCAAAGTTTTTGATGAGATAAATGACAAAAATATTATATCTTGGAATATTTTGTTGAATGGGTTGTTAAAGTTTGGTCATTTTAAGAAAGCATGTTTATTGTTCGATCAAATGCCTGCGAAAGATGTTGTAAGTTGGAACTCCATGATTTCGGGTTCTGGGTGGTTGGGGTTTTGGGGTTATGGTTTGCAAGTGTTTAAGGAAATGCAAAAGTTCGGTGTTAGACCCAGTAAGTTTACATTTTCAATTCTGACAACATTTGTGTCGTGTGCCAGTCAGGGGAAGGAAATTCATAGTAACATGATTACAAGTGGTGTTGGTTTGAGCAATTTGGTGATTGGAAATTCGTTAATTGATATGTATGGGAAGCTTGGCTTGGTAGATTATGCTTTTGGTGTGTTTTTTAGCATGGAAGAGGTGGATGTTGTGTCTTGGAATTCATTGATTTCGGGTTGTTGTAACTCAGGTTATGAAGTCATGGCATTGAAACAGTTTGATCAGATGAGATTTGCTGGTTATTCACCTGATGAGTTTACAATTTCAAATGTGATTTCTGTTTGTACTAATTTGAGAAATTTGGATAAGGGTAGGCAAATCTTTGCTCTCTGTGTCAAAGTGGGATTCGTCTTGAATTCCATTGTTTCAAGTGCCACTATTGACCTTTTTTCAAAATGCAACATATTAGAGGATTCTGTTAAGCTTTTTGAAGAAGTAGAACGTTGGGATTCTGTGCTTTGCAGTTCTATGATCTCAAGCTATGCAAGGCATGGCTTGCAGGATGATGCTTTGCTACTTTTTGTGCTCTCCTTGAGGGAGGATTGCAGGCCTACAGAGTTCTCAGTCAGTATTGTTCTGAGCTGTATAGCCTTTATTTCTGCAGAGCAAGGACATCAAGTCCATTCTTTGGTGATAAAATCAGGTTTTGAGTCAGAATCAATTGTTGCCTGTTCACTTGTGGATATGTATGCTAAAATTGGATTAATTGACCCAGCAATGCAGATTTTCTCCGAAATGCATGTAAAGGATATAATATCTTGGAACACATTAATCACGGGTTTAGCTCACAATGGCAGAGCTGTTGAGACCTTGGAAATATATAAGGAACTACTCAGAGAAGGTCCAGCACCAGATCGAATAACTCTTGCTGGAGTTCTATTAGCTTGCAGATATGGTGCTTTTGTAGATATAGGAATGAGTATATTTTCATCAATGGAGGAAAATTTTGGAGTTATACCTTGTGATGAGCATTATGCCTGCATTGTGGAGTTGCTCTGTCATGCTGGTAAAGTCAAAGAAGCATGTGATATTTTAGAAGCAATGCCTTTTCATCCTAGTTATTTAGTTTGGGAATCAATAGTTCTTGCTACTGCAACTTATGCCAACCCGAATCTTACTGAAAGTATGGCAGCAAAGATGATAGAGCTGGAACCACAGTCATCTTTACCTTATTTGGTGTTGAATCGTGCGTATGAGATGAGGGGTAGATGGGAGGGAATGATTCGAGTCAGGAAGGCCATGAAGTCAAGGTTGAAGAAGATTGTCGGATGCAGTTGGATTGGAATAAAAAACCATGTATATATGTTCCAGGCAGATCAGTTACATCATGATGGAGGAAGAGATATATATTTGATATTGAGATTATTGACTTGGGACTTGGAAGAAAAATGCTGTATTCACTTACAGCATGGGATAGAGGGTACTGAGTGGAATAAGAGTGAAACAAACTAGAAAATTAAAGAATTCAGGCTCTGATTTGTTGATGTCTTCAGAGTTCTTTACATATGTTATAGCCAGCATACATAGAATTAACAGGTTAAAGAAGATCACTATGTATGGATATGGTTTTGCATATATTTTTCTTGAACCCAATATGCGAACGAAGGTCATCTCGATATTTTCAACAAGCTTGATATTTGTAACTTTAAGGATTGACCCGGCTTTGCCAAGTTTGTCCAGGTATTTATACAAATTAATTTGATTAGCAAATTGAAAGTTTCAATTCTGCTTTTGATTATTTGTAGAAGGTGATGAAATTAAGAAATGGATTCTAACCCACTTACATGAACACTAATTATCAATTTGCTCTGGTGAAGAAGTAACATAGCATCTGCTGCTGCACTGAGCAAAGGTGATGCTGTTCTGGCCCAGCTAAAGGAAAATGCATAAGAATGTATTAATGGTTGTATTCTCCAAGTATTTGTATAGGTTCATGGAATATCATGATATTATCTAATAACGTGTTTGCCCTGCCAGCACCAGGAACCTGTACAACTATTAAGGTGTGATTTTATAGTGTTAGAATTTGCCAATTAAAGCTCTGGAATGGCGATGCCGGATCATTAAAGGTCAAGCAAGGTTGGTCAACCAGAAATTGCTCTGAAAAAATGTACCACCAATCACTGTATTTTGGCATCTGAAGACACGCTAGTGGGGTTCTTACCCTCTAATGAAGCAAGTTGTAGTATTCTGTTGTCTTAATACCCATATGAAACTTTTGAACCAAAAATGATTCGCACACGAAGTTATTTGAAAGAAGTAATAAAAATGGTGCTACTGTATCGGCCAACTCCCTCAGCCCCATCAAAACTGTTCTGAGAAGCCCTAATTCGGTGATTGTAATTGATTTGAAATAGTGCAAATGATTTAAATTTGGATTTAATTTAATGCACTGAAAGCTCGCCAAATGTAACTTTACAAGAGTTTAATAATAAATATTAAAGTTTTTAAAAATAGATATGAGATAAAACAAAATATTAATATTTTTATTTAAAAATACATAAATTGTTGTGAAATATATCATGAAAAACATCTATGAGAAAAAAGTATTAATAAAGTAAGAGATTTTATTTAAGAGTAGGTTTTTACCAATGATTAAACTCTATCTAGATAGAATTTATAAGATAGAAAATAATGTTAAGTGATTTGATTTGGATGGATTAAATTCAAATTTTAATCCAATATAATCTACATCCAAATGAGGTATACATAATCAAATTTAAGAGTTCAAATCAAATTATACTCTTATATATGGCTTGTTGGGCTACTTGATTTGTCTCGACTATTGGGCATAGATTGAACTATGGGGTAGTGACATAATGGACATTCACACAAATATTTATAACACTTCTCCTTGGATGTTTATTTTATAAAAAATATGTCTCATTAAAATCTTATTAGGAAAAAACCTTTTGAAAAAAAAAATCTAAGTGAAAGACAAAATGTACATAATTCTTTTCAAGAATCTATTTTTGCAATACCACTTCATTAAAAACCTTAATAAAAAAAACCTAGTGGGAAAAAGCTTGATGAAAAAACAAATACTCTGTGTATTTTACATTCTCTGATGACTATATTATGTAAGATCTTTAAAAAAGACATATTCCAATATTTTATACCAATATTTTAAATGTTACAATAACAATGATTTTAGTGAATAAATCTATTAGATTATCACTTGAAAGATTTTGTTGAGTACTAATATCTTATTTTTCTCGAAAATCATGAGTGAAAAAGAACTTTGACAAAGTATATTTTGTTCTATCACCTTTAATAAATTATTCTTTTAATTGAGCTACACAAGAGGTATTATTCTTATATAATGTTGTTGGAATTTTCTTCTTGGTTGACTCACATGTTTCTCGAATATGTTGAGTTATAAATTTTAACTAGATACTTTTACGACTTACCTCATAAATTGTTAAAATTTCTACACAGTTAGAAGTAGTAGCAATAATAGTTTGTTTTACAGAAGGTCATGAAATAGTTATACCTTCGTATGTGAGTAAGTAACTTATTTGGGATCAAGTTTTGTATGAATTAGATAAATATTCTGCATTTGCATAACCAATTAAGCTTAATTTTAAATATATTTGAGTAATATAAACCAATGTTCATTGTTCTTAAGAGGTATCAAAGTATATGTTTAATTTCATTCCAATGTCTTCGAGTTGGAAAAGAATTATATTTTACTAATAAATTTACAACAAATGATATATTAATTCATGTATTGCAAGCAACATACATTAGTGCTCTGATTGTACTAAGATGTGACACTTTAGGATTAAGAAATTTTTCATCATTCTCACGAGGTTGAAAAGGATCTTTTTTCACATCTAATGACCGTACAACCATTAGTAAATTCAATGGATGTGCGTTATATAGAATCGTTTTAACACTTTTGCTATATAATTTGATTGATTAAAAAAAATTCCATTTGCTAAGTGCTCAATTTGAAGATCCAAACCAAACTTTACTTTTCTAAAGTCTTTCATCTCAAATTTTTTTCATTAAGCAACCTACGACTTTTAATAACTCTTTTGGAGTTCCAATAATATTCAAGTCATCTACATAAATAGTAATTATAATAAATTCAAATCCAAATCTATTGATAAACACACATAAGCATGTAGGATAATATTTATATCCTTTTTTCAACCAATATTTACTAAAGCAATTATACTACATGCATCCGGATTGCTTTAATCCATAAAAAGATTTATTTAATTTAATCAAATAAATTTTCCTAGAATTGTGTACTCTAGGCAACTTAAATTCTTCAAGGGTTTTCATATAGATATTGTTATGGAAATTGCCCAAGAAACAACAAAGATAAAACCCAGAGAAATTAAGCAAACAGATAAACACAAGAATTTACGTGGTTCGGCCTCTTGCCTACATCCACGGAGTGAAACTATGTTTATATTATTGAAAAATTAAAGTACAATAAATTGACCTCTATGGCTCCCCAAACCAACCCAAGATCCCTTGTACACTCTTTTCCAATAACCTCCCAAGAACACTCACCCAAACCACTCTAGCTCCACCTAGAGCAAAAGACAGAGTTACAAAGTATCCATTCTCTAAGACTTTCAAAGCACTACTTGCAATTCTAAAGCCTAAAGATTCACTTTTATAGTATAAAAGTTCAAAGTAGAATGTGATTAGGACTTTATGTGGAATAAGAAGTTTAAAATTATACAACTACTTACTGTTGTACATAAACCAAAATTCTAATCAAATAAGATATAGAATTCTAATCAACCTAAAACTTAACAAATCTCCACCTTTGACTTGAATTCAAACTCCTTAAACTTCTTCCACCAGTCGCACTCAATTGCAACTTCTTAACTCCACCTACTTTCCAACACTTTGAATCACTCTCCAAGCACAAAACTTTTCAAAACATTAGCCTTTATAATTACCACGACTACACATACCGAATCAAGCATGGTCCAACGCTCGATTCTACAAAACGACCAATGCACCTGTGTAGCCATCAAGTCAATGGCACTAATTGGCTTCAAAAAGGGACCTCGACGACCTTTCCAATTCACCACTAGCAAGATTTTTCGTCCTTTCACCTTCGTTTACATCATGGGAACCTTTCATCATCTCCTCGACAAATGAAATCTCACTTTGGTAGCTACCATCTCCTATGCACTGTTCCCATCCCTTCGAGGCCTCACATTCAAGACGATATAAGTCATTATATAGATTCCCCCTCATCAGGACCATGTCACCTTGTGTGACTTTTACCATTCTATCACAAGCAGAATATCCATACCCTTTAGAGTCTAACAGGCTTAATGATATTAGATTCTTACGCATCTCTGAGACATAGGCCACACCACCCAAAGAGCGCTCAACGCCATCAAACATTTTGATTTTTACTATTCTAAGACCCATGACTTTCACTATTGATTTATTACCAATAGTCAAATTCCCAGCCACCCCTTCTTGAAGTAAATCAAAATAGTCCTTTTGATAACATATGTGAGTGGCAGAAGCAGAATCTAAATATCAATTAGAATTTGCATCCATATTTTTTGAGATTGTAAAGACATCACAATCATCACCTTCAGCAACAAAAGCACACTCACTTTTGTTCTCGTTACTTTCATCCCCTTTTGTAGGACAATCCCTTTTAATATGTCCATACCCTTTGCATCGAAAGCACTGAACATTGTTGGATCTAGACTTGCCACCCTTAGATCCCTTATCAGTTGACTTCCTCCTACGAACCTCAGTTACCAATGCCAAGCCACTTGGATCTCTATCCCCTTCCTTACTTTTCTTTCAGGCATCACGAGACATTAATGTTGTTTGTGCTTATTTTAACGTTATTGTATCCATCCCACATATCAGAGATTTTACAAATGCCTCATAGGAGTCTGAAAGCGAAACTAGGAACAACAATGCCTTTTCCTCTTCCTCCACCTTCACATCAACTTTCTTCAACTGATCAATGATCCCGTCGAATTCATTCATATGCTTCATGAGGTCTCCATTCTCTTCCATCTTTAAGCGATACAACTTTCGCCTAAGTTGCAACTTGTTAGAAAGACTTTTCGTCAAATAAATTTTCTCTAACTTTGTCTACAACCTTGAAGCAGAATCCTCATCAATAACATGATTAAACACATTATCTCCAATGCAAAGCCGAATTTTACCGAACCCGAAGCTTTGATACCAGTTTGTTATGAAAACTGCCTAAGAAACTACAAAGATAAAACCCAGAGAAATGAAGCAAACAGAAAAATACAAGAATTTACGTGGTTTTGACTCTTGCCTACGTCCACAGAGTGAAACTATTCTTATATTATTGAGAAATTAAAGTACAATAAATTGACCTCTATGGCTCCCTAAACCAACCCAAGATCCCTTGTACACTCTTTCCCAATAACCTCCTAAGAACACTCACCCAAACCACTCTAACTCCACCTAGAGCAAAAAACAGAGTTACAAAGTGTCCCTTCTCTAAGACTCTCAAAGCACTGCTTGCAATTCTAAAGCCTAGAGATTCATTTTTATAGTATAAAAGTTCAAAGTAGAATGTGATTAGGACTCTATGTGGAATAAGAAGTTTAAAACTATACAACTGCTTAATGTTGTACATAAACCAAAATTCTAATCAAATAAGATATAGAATTCTAGTCAACCTAAAACTCAACAGATATCGATATTAAATGAGCCATATAAATAGGCTGTAGCTCTATTCATTAGACGCATTTTAATTTTCTCATGTATTGTCAAACTAATTAGATATAAAAATATAATTTCATTCACCACTAAAGAATATGTCTCTTTATAATCAATATTAGGTCTTTGGGTAAAACCTTGTGTGAGAAGTTGTGCTTCACAATCTTTTTTTTTTTCATTTCATTTTTACACAAATATACATTTAGATCCCACTAGTTTTATCTTATTTGTTGTATGGATTGCAGGTCCAAAAATTTCACATTTTACAAGTTCATTCAGTTTCACCTTTATTACGTTTTTTCACATTGGTCAATGATTTCTATATCTACATTTTTCAATAAATGTAGGTTCAAGATCTTTATTTTTTTTCATAATATTGAGCACTACATTATATGTAAAAATATCATCAGTATTTATTTCACTCTGGTTTCATCTTTTCCTATCATGATATAATTTATTGAGATCTTTTCATTTTCAATGATTTTAGATATT